ACAAGAATTAGAAAAGCTGGACTCAAGATTAACATCAAAAAGTGTAACTTTTGGATGAAAAGATTACCTTTTCTTGGACATGTTATAGAAGAAAAAGGAATCTCCCCAGACTCAGACAAAATAGCTGCTATACAAAATATCCTACCTTCAACAAGTGTCACTCAACTAAGATCTTTTTTAGGACTTACTGGATACTATTGACGATTCATTAAACACTTTTCTTCTATTGCTCAACCTCTTAATCAACTATTATATAAGGATACCCCTTATGAATAGAGTTCAAGTTGTCAAAAAGCTTTTGATGAACTTAAACAGAGATTAGTTACTACCCCTATACTAATCTATTCTAACTATAAGAAAGAGTTTATACTGGCCACCGATGCTTCTTATATTGGATTTGGAGCCATCCTGAGTCAAATTTCAGATGATCAAAAAGAACACCCTATTGCCTATGCAAATAAAAGTTTAAAGAAAGAGGAAATTAACTATGGAGCCACTGAACTAGAATGTGCTGCCATAGTATGGGCTATTGAACATTTTTATAAATACTTTGAAACTGATTATTTCACTTTGATCACTAACCATTCTACTTTTAAATAGTTAAAATTATCCTAACCTAAAGGACGATTAGGCTGATGGATAATGAAGTTAAACCTTACAATTTTACTATCATACATAAACCTTAACAAATCCATTTCAATGTTGATGCATTATTACGACTTGAGAACCAGACACAACCTATATTTCTATATCTATCACCCCTATATGAATTTGGATCACTATCAGAATTTAGTGAACTATTTAAAATCAGACAAAATTTCTTTTGACTTAATGGACTATGAAAAATGAACATTAATTAGACAATCAAAATATTACCAACTCAAAGACAAACTATTATACAAAAAGAATCAAAGAGATCCAAACAAACCTATTCATATAATTAAATGGACTGAAGTAGAATCTGTTCTTTATATGATGTATAGTCATCCTACTGCTGAACACTTAGGAACTGATGCTATGTATTATAAAATATCTGAGAGATACTATTGGGACCAAATGTATAGAGATATACAGTACTATGTTTGCTCATGTGAAACCTGCTAGAAAAGACAAAAAGGTAGACAAAAGGAACCACTCTATCCTATTCAAGTTGGACGAGCCTTCGAACGTATTGGTATAGATCTTGTAGGACCTCTACCAATAACTGCTCAAAATAATCGGTACATTATCGTCGTTACTGATTATCTTACTCGATGGCCTGAAGCAAAAGCTGTACCAGACGCTGGAGCAGAAACTTTAGCTAAATTTATATTCGAAGTAATTTTATGTAAACAGGGCGTACCCAAAATAATATTCTCTGATAACAGAAGAAATTTTATTAGTGATACTGTCAAGATCTTGTGTGATAAGTTCTTGATAAAACATATATTCTCTTCTCCATATCATCTGCAAACCAATGGTATAATTGAACGTCTAAATCGAACACTTTGCAATTCTCTTACAAAAGTAAAAGAAACAGATGAAGATTGGGATATATATATACCAGCTATTTTATTCTTATATAGGACTAAACGATATACAACTACTGAATATACACCTTTTTAATTAGTATATAGACGACAAGCTATACTACCTATTGAAGCTACTCTCCTAATTGAACCACAAGAAACAGATAAAGAAATATCTCTAGAAGATAGTATTTTATTCTGAGCATTTAAGTTAATAGATGAATTACCCTATTAACATAGTGAAGCTTGAAAGAATACTGAATGATCTCAAAAGAAACAGAAAGTAAAATTCGATTCAAAAATTCGAATAGAAGAGTTTGAAATTAGAGATAAAGTGTAGATACAACGAAAAGATATCGAAGCTTCTCGATCTGCTAAATTCGAAGAGAAACGAACTGGACCCTTTATTATCCAAACGAAACTAAATAACGAAGCATACAAGCTCTCAACATTAAAAGGCAAAACACTATTAGGTTATTATAATAGTGATCGTCTTGCCTACTACTATGAGAAACAGAACTGGCAACCCACTGTTGTCATTAACAATTAACCCTTTTCAACCCCAAACTCTAACTTATATTTAGAACATTATTTAAAATTTTAACGATAAATTTTATTTATTTTACTTTATTTATCTATTATTACAAATTTTATTATTACAATTTTATTACTATTAGATTTAAAATTTTATTTTATTTTTATTTATTCTATTTACAAAATGTTACAAAAATAATTACTATTACTATTACTATTCTCCTGTACTCTCCTTCTTAATTCTTGCACCTCATCCTCCAAATTTGCTACCTGAATACGTAGCCTATCTCTCTCTGTCCTAAGATTCTGAAGCTGAGTTTCTCATATGAAACTTTCTCTTGCTGCTTCTAAGCCCGAAAGATTTCTTTCAGCCACTTTTGCCTTCAAACTTATAACTTGATTTTGGAGTACCGACAAATGATCTGAAACCGAACTTTCTTTACCGCAATGAGGCATCTACAAAGCAAAACTTAATTAGAAACGACTTATTCCTAAGCGTATAAACTTGAAAAATGATAAAAGAAACAGTTGGAAAGACTTTTATTTCAAGAATACAACAAGCAAGATCTATTACTTGCAATACCAATGGAAATAAGTTCTTATCCTACCCGCACAAGAGACCACGAGTATCAAAACGAAAAAGAGGAAAAACAAAGCAAAAAATATCTACTAGGGCCAACTACATAGCGCATCTAAGTAGAAGACTGGCCAAGTCCCATACGCCTAAATTAGACAAGACTTAGTGCACAGCCAGAACAAGTATACATACCTTTGAACGATGACAAAATAAACGAACAAGAGAAAACAAAACAAAGACAAAAGTTTCTTGATTAAACTATAAAAAGAAAAGACGAAAGATATTAAAAAAGTTTAGAACAATAAAAGGGAAAAGGAAAAGGAAAGATAAGGACCAGAAAGTTGTGGATAAAAGATTTTTGGATACGACAAATGCCAAAAATCAAAGACTAAATAACAGAAAAACACAATTAGCTATAATGAAAAGATCATATGATATATGCAGAAGCATAATCGCAACTAACAATGTGATTGCTAGAATAGGAAATCTATAGACAAATAGAAGCTAATTTTGGATAAATTAGCACATGAAGTTCAGAGACCTCACTTTTTAAGAGGACAGACAGACAAAGAATTTTTAATTAATAGAGCATTGTAGAATTTTTATTTTTAGAATTGAAGATCCCGAGCACACGGTTGAACAAAAACTTGTTTGACAATTATAGTAGACAAAACATTCCATATGGAATACATAAGCAAATATTTTGAAAATCCCTTAATTATATTCGTATTACTATAAATCTTTATAAATAGATACCCCCTTGCATCTAAATTCCTATTCTCTAATTTAGTAATTCTTCACTCTACATTTTAAAAAATAGAAACTCCCACCTTACAACAATTACAGCCCCAGACCATAGATGCTTTAAATAATTTCCTTGTACTATAGAATCAGAACCTCCTTGCCGTAAACAATAGTTTAATTATAACTAGAAATTCTATTGTAGTATATGATAGAACTGATATAATTACGTCATTACGACATGTACCAGAAACAGAACCGAACCTACCTACACAACATTTGAAAAATATTGATGTATTAAATAATTATTTTCCAGATATAGCATTTAACGATCTTATTTTTTCTATCGAACCTATAGAAGAAGAATTGGATGTACTTCTTTCACAACCTGATGCAGATATTGTACCAATTCAAGACACAGAAAATGAAGTTCTCGCTTGACTTATTAAGGACCTTACAGAAGTAAAAGAAGAAGTTTTTATTCGATACAACCCTCTAATTAGAATAAACTTTAAAGAAAATCCCAGAGAAATTGTTAGTTGATTAAAAGAAGAGAGCCGTGGAAAATCACGTGATCAACAGTAAAGTTTGGAACCGGATGCAAAATTATTACCTAAGTCACCTGTGTAATATTAAAATCAGGTACTCGAGTGAAACCGGTTGGGTATATAGGATAGAGATTAGATTGTACCCAGATGGACACTTTTATTACATAGCAATAATAAATTATCCGAATGACCAGGTAATTTAATAATATATACCTGGGTAGAAATATTCTTAATGAGTACAATCTTTAATATAGGTAGTGATAAAAGTTAAACTTTTAGTACTTTTAGTGAAAACGATTAGTAGAAAGAACTCTGATTATTTGGTTATATAATGACTTTGGCGCATACGTATTAGAGGTTGAGTGTTTATTTAAATTTATATAATTTTATTTGATATTAAATTGTAAAGTTGATGAACTAACTGAATATAAACCTAAAAATTGTTACTTAGCCTTTCTAATGTACAAATAATAAAATATGATAAGTAAACACATACAATTTTGATTATTTTTTTTTTTTCAATATCTAACAATTTTTTTCCTTTACTATTAGTGAATATAACTAAAATATTTGGATTATGCTAGAATTTCTTTTTATAAACATCATTTTACTTACTAAATTGAGATTTAATTGGGTATGCTTAGCAGTAATATAATTACCTGCATCCAAAAATAATCTTTCACTGGAAACGAAGGATGCAAGAATAGCCAAATATTTTCTAGCTAATTTGACTACATTAGGAAATTTTGATTTCCAAATTGCCCACCATTCAAATGGATCCTCAAAATCTTCAGTGATGGGAGTTCGTGTGGAATCTAAATAGCATTCTAATTCAGCTAAAGAATTAGATGCGGTGTTTCTTGAAGTAGATGAACTAAAAATTGACAAATATAATTGATTGTAGTAGGTATGAATATTTTTTGAAATAATAGCATGTTCTGGAACTGTTGTAGAACTTGAAGAAATTATATGTTTGTATTGATATTTTAACTCTTCTTTAGCTTTTTCTCAGGTTTCTTCATCCTAATTAGAAAGTGTTTTAAGTCTGGGATCCAGAAGTGATGCTAACAATCCAATCATTATTGGTTCATTCTAATAATCAAATAATGAATTATAAATTATATGACGTATTGATTTAATAATCAAGGAATTTTGTAAAGAACCATCAGCTGAATTAGTAGTAGCAACTGCTTCATGATATAAAGGTTTCAAATCATCATATTCTAAATCTTCACTATCATTATCTAATGATTCTTTATGACAAAAGTTAGGTATATCTATTTAATAAATATTTTATTTAAAAGGTTATTAGTAAAAATTTCTTATAAAAAATAGGTATTATGATATCATTGTTGCTTAATTCCCAAAAGTTATTTCTCCATCAACCATTTCATCAACACTATATATATTGCCGACATACTATTTTATCTACAGCACATTTTTTCAAAAAGATATTTATCTAATATTACATGTTTTCAACAATTCTTTTCTTAGACAAGACATCTCAATGATAATGATTTCTCCAGCATAAAATTGGCTCGATTTAACATTAGGTTTTTCCGATTTAGAGTTAGTATTAATTAGAATTATGTTGAGGAAATGATTGTCAGGAAATGTCTTGTCTAAGCAAGGGTTGTTAAAAACATGTAATATTGAATAGATGTCTTGTTGAAAAAATGTACCATAGATAACATAACATATTAGCAATATGGTATTGATGAAAAAATAACTTTAGATAAAATGCGATATAACTTTATGATACAATGAGTAATAGAGAATTATTAAATTATTACCTTGTTCTTCATCTGGTATATCACTTGCTGCTTTAACTTCAACGAATCTATATTTTAGGGCCTGAATTAAAAGGTATATTATAGATAGAGTGGCATATCATAAGCCACTAAAATAAGTAGTAGCATCATCAAACGGCTTTAACAAAGCAATAATTTGGTTTAGTAGATCCCACTTATGTGGTAAAAAAAGTAGTTTTTTTAATTTTTGAACATCTGCTTTATTATCTGGATTATCAGATAAAGGTAATGTCACACATAACTATTCAATTGCTTTACACAATTTAAGTAGCCATTTCCACAAGTGGTATTTTGAATTCTATCTCGTTTCTATATCTGCTATATTTCTTAAGATTGGTTGTTCAGAATCTGTAATATTAGCTGACTGTAAACTGTCTAAATCACTATCACCAGAATTTAATGCATTATTAGAATCAATATCATTTTGAATTTGTAAATGCCTTTGGAATTGCTGAGCTTCATCTAGACGTTCACTTTGTTTGGGAAACTTAGTAAAAAACTTAACTAATTTTTTGATTTTTTTAATATAAATATATATTTTTTTAAAAGTACAGGTAACTAAAAGCTGCAAAGTATAGGCGGCACAAGGCAGACGCTCAACCTTCTCCCACAATCGAATTGCCTTAACCATATTATTACTATTATCTGTTATAATGCAAGTAATTTTTTTATTTATCTCAAATTCTGAAACTTTTTTTTTAGCAAGTTAATAATTTTTTTAGCTGAATGCGGATATATTATATGTTCTATACAAAGAAGACAGTTGTATACTTTAAAATCACTTAACAACCAATGGACTATTATATCTATATATCCATACTTGCTTTGGGTGGTCCATAGATCAGTTGTTTTTTTTTTTTTTTTTTTTTTAATACCTTCGCAATATCGCGAGAAGGCGGATTTTATTAGATATTTAGATAATACATTTTTGATTACCCTATCCTGTACCATCCACCACAATCACGCCACCTCATAACCTTGTGCTGCTTCATAACCTATAGCAGAAGTGTTCTCCGGCTGTTTTGTTCTTACCGGTTTTTCCTAACATTTTAACTATACTATAGGTCTAAACTGAAGACCACCCAGATCGACATCTGCTATACTACTTGTACTCTAATTCTATAGATAACCCAGTAGGATTCTTATACAACCGGGTTGCCTCAGGGAGGGTATAGTACATATCTCCCTAATTTTTCTATGTCTTACGCATTTCCAGATTAGACTACGAATACTTTCTGCAGCAGCTGAAACCACCACTAGCAATCAGGGCGAACCATTAAACCGCACAATTTCAGTATTCGGTGCTCTTGCAAGGTTCTTTCTGATCCCAATACCCACATCAAGCTGGCCCTTATACCGATCCCTCCCTAACTACCAAACCAGTTAGCCTGAATGGGTTGTTGTACCTAGGCTTTAGGTGCTTTCCGGTTTTACTTCCCTTGGTTTCTAATTCCATAGCATAGGACCTTTTCCTCCGGTGCGACTCCGGTGGCCAGGTTGGTGGACCCTTCTTGTCTAAGGTTTTCGTCCAGTTCTTTAGTCTTCGGTTTCTAACTTTTCCGCGTATTGTCAAAGATCTTCACTACCTCCTTACTCAGGTCTTGCCAAACGGGTTTCAATTATTCCGGTTCCTTGAATTTGGATTGCCTAAGAGCTTCCATTACGAGATAATAATACCAAGATTACAGGTAATATACCCAACCGATCGTCGAATAATTGTTATCAGAACACAGGCCTGTTTTTCTAAAAACGTCTCCAGTGGGATTCGAACTCTAGATCTTCCGCTTGGGGTGTGACAACTTAACCACTACTCTAAGTCGCCACACCCATAGATTAGTTGTTAAAGATGCTGACTCACATATATTATTTAGCAGTTGTTTTAAATTTTCAACCACATTAATATAACCATCATTAATTATTTTTTTAATTCTTTTATTTGAGGGAACTTGAAAGGCTGGATCAACAATTTTCATTATTTTCTTATCCCTTAAACTGTAGGCTTTTCCAGGCAAATTTGTCTGGAAAATTATCATAAATATTGTTATGATCTACTTTTTT